TGTTAAACCGCTGTATAAGTGTGCAGTTGTTCACTTACTAAGTGATTTACTGGTGGGTTGTTTAACGTTGTATAAGTGTGGAGTTGTTCACTTACTGAGTGATCTACTAGTGGGTGTGTTTAACGCTGTATAAGTGTAGAGTTGTTCACTTACTAAGTGATCTACTAGTGGGTGTGTTTAACGCTGTATAAGTGTGGAGTTGTTCACTTACTGAGTGATCTACTAGTGGTTGTGTTTAACGCTGTATAAGTATGGAGTTGTTCACTTACTAAGTGATCTACTAGTGGTTGTGTTTAACGCTGTATAAGTATGGAGTTGTTCACTTACTAAGCGATCTACTAGTGGTTGTGTTTAACGCTGTATAAGTATGGAGTTGTTCACTTACTAAGTGATCTACTAGTGGGTGTGTTTAACGCTGTATAAGTGTAGAGTTGTTCACTTACTAAGTGATCTACTAGTGGGTGTGTTTAACGCTGTATAAGTATGGAGTTGTTCAGTTACTAAGTGATCTACTGGTGGATGTGTTTAACGCTGTATAAGTATGGAATTGTTCAGTTACTAAGTGATCTACTGGTGGATGTGTTTAACGCTGTATAAGTATGTAATTGTTCAGTTACTAAGTGATCTACTGGTGAATGTGTTTAACGCTGTATAAGTATGTAATTGTTCAGTTACTAAGTGATCTACTGGTGGGTGTGTTTAACGCTGTATAAGTATGTAATTGTTCAGTTACTAAGTGATCTACTGGTGGGTGTGTTTAACGCTGTACAAGTATGGAATTGTTCAGTTACTAAGTGATCTACTGGTGAATGTGTTTAACGCTGTATAAGTATGTAATTGTTCAGTTACTAAGTGATCTACTGGTGGGTGTGTTTAACGCTGTATAAGTATGGAATTGGTCGGTTACTAACTGATCTACTGGTGGATGTGTTTAACGCTGTATAAGTATGGAATTGGTCGGTTACTAACTGATCTACTGGTGGGTGTGTTTAATGCTGTATAATGGTGAAAATATGGGGGTGACTGCAGTCAAGTTTATACAATGAATTCCAGAGAAATTTGACTAAAAAGCTCAACGAAATAGGCAAGCAGAAAAACGTGAACAAAACAACACAACGTAATGTTTTGGCCAGGCAGCCATTTTTCAAACGCAAGTGAACTACACAAACGTAACAACGAGGAGATGAGAGTATGTAGATCTCTAAGGGGTGACGTGAGCAACGTTTAAAAAAATGTGGTGTGGAATAAATGAAATAAAACAAAAGATAGCTAAAAAAATATAGTCACACAAAAAATAATAAACTGTTATATATTGTTAATATATAATATAATACTGGGAATAAAAGCAATACAAATGTTAATGATACATAAATAATACTGATAGGAAATAGAATAAAGTAATAATATGAAATAAAAGAAAAGAAAAGAAAATAATTAACATGTAAAATGTGATAAAAGTAGAACTATTTAGATGAAGGTATGTTGGATATTGATACCACCTGGACTAAGGACGCCTAAGCTGTGGATGAGGCGATTTTCCAATGCGAGGCGCATAGTATGATCACCAGAGCAAGATTTTAATGCTGTGACAGAAACATCATCTTTACCTCTGTGATCAGAGCTATTAAAATGGAGAGGGATTGGTTTAAGTGTCTTTTTGTCAATATCAGAGAGGTGTTCCCGGAAATGATCAGCTAGCTTCCTGCCAGTTTCCCCGATGTATGCCTTGCTGCATCGTTTGCAGACAATTGCATAATTTACGTTGCGGGATTCGCAAGTAAAAGGTTCCCTAATTTGGAATGAACTTTTTAAACTGACCGAAGGAGTCTGTACAACAAAAAGACATGTCTTGCACATGATGCGTGAGCATTCAGTAGTCTCAAAAGGAAGTGCTGTGTGGATCGGTGGGAGTCGGCTTCGGACAAGTATGTCTTTGAGGTTGCGGTCTCGTCTGTAAACCAATCTATGTTTATCACTAAAGATAATCTTGGTGTCCGGATCAGAGCGGAGATTGTCCAAATGACGAAAGAATACTTTGGAAGCAACCACATTTTTAGGGTGAAAAGTCAAAATCAAATTTGGTCCATTACTGGAGGAATTACGTTTGGTAGGAAAAGCAACTCTCCTAGTGATTGCCAAAACTTTGTTTAGCGCCCCTTGTAGAATGTGTTCCGGATAGAAACTTGCCGGAAGAAATCAAGAAGTTTAACTGATTTATCAAAGAAGTCAGAATCATCAGAGCACAACCTGCATAACCGAAGGAGCTGTGAATACGGAATAGAATTTTTACACCGTAGTAGGTGAGAAGACGTATAGAGGAGATAACTGTGAGAATCCGTGGGTTTGTAGTAGGCTATGGTCTTCAGACACGGGAAATCGATGTTTACCGTGATGTCAAGAAAGTTTACTGAAGTGGTGGAGATCAGAGAGGTGAATTTGATAGCCGGATTGAAATTGTTGATATAAGTAATAAATTGGTGAGCTAACTGAGGTCAAACTAGATGAGTCTGATCCATCCTCTCCGCCAATAACATTGTAAAAGATAACATCACAAAACATAACGTCAAAGAAATATAACATCACAACACATAAATCTAAAGAAAGATAAAATTACAAAACATAACGTCAAAGAAAGATAACATTACAAAACATAAATTTAAAGAAAGATAACATCACAAACCATAACTTTAAGTAAAGATAACATCACAACACATAACTTTAAGTAAAGATAACATCACAAAATATAACTTTAAGTAAAGATAACATCACAAAACATAACTTTAAGTAAAGATAACATCACAAAACATAACTTTAAGTAAAGATAACATCACAAAATATAACTTTAGGTAAAGATAACATCACAAAACATAACTTTAAGTAAAGATAACATCACAAAACATAACTTTAAGGAAAGATAACATCACAAAACATAACTTTAAGGAAAGATAACATTACAAAAGATAGCATCACAAAACATAACTTTAAGTAAAAATAACATCACAAAATATAACTTTAAAGAAAGCTAACATCAGAACACATAAATCTAAAGAAAGATAACATCACAAAACATAACGTCAAAGAAAGATAACATTACAAAACATAAATTTAAAGAAAGATAACATCACAAAACATAACTTTAAGTAAAGATAACATCACAAAATATAACTTTAAAGAAAGCTAACATCATAAAAGATAATGTCACAATGCCACCAACACACAGATATTAGTGCCAAATGTTTATTCACAGATAAACAACAATGTAATGATGGCTGCCGCGACTTTCCTGGGAGGAACTCTGACCATCGCCACGCCCTACTGCACCGACTTCCTGGCCATGTTGTGCATCCGCGGCGTCACCGGCATATTTCTGGGCTGTATTGACTGTAGTAAGTTGTCTGTCCTTGACTGTAGTAAGTTGTCTGTCTATTGACAGCGGTAGGTTGTCTGTCCCTTGACTGAAGTAAGTTGTCTGTCTATCAGATGTAGTAATTTGTTGACTGTAGTAGTTTGTCTGTCTATTGACAGCTCTAAGTTGTCTGTCCATTGACTAAAGTAAGTTGTCTATATGTTGACTATAGTAGGTTGCTCTCTATTGACTGTAGTAGGTTGTCCGTCTGTTGACTGTCTATCAGCTATATTAGGTTGTCTGTCTGTTGACTATAGTAGGTTGTCTGTATGTTGACTATAGTAGGTTGTCCGTCTGTTGACTGTAGTAGATTGTCTCTCTGTTGACTATAGTAGGTTGTCCGTCTGTTGACTATAGTAGGTTGTCTGTCTATTGACAGTCTATCAGCTATAGTAGGTTGTCTGTCTGTTGACTATAGTAGGTTGTCGTCTGTTGACTATAGCAGGTTGTTTCTCTGTTGACTATATTAGGTTGTCTCTCTGTTGACTATAGTACATTGTCTCTCTGTTGACTATAGTAGGTTGTCTCTCTGTTGACTGTAGTAGATTGTCTCTCTGTTAACTGCAGTAGGTTGTCTGTTGACTGTAGCAGGTTGTTTCTCAGTTGACTATAGCAGGTTGTTTCTCTGTTGACTATATTAGGTTGTCCCTCTGTTGACTGTAGTAGGTTGTTTCTCTGTTGACTATAGGAGGTTGTCTCTCTGTTGACTATAGTAGGTTGTCTCTCTGTTGACTATAGTAGGTTGTCTCTCTGTTGACTTTAGTAGGTTGTCTCTCTGTTGTTTATAGTAGGTTTTTCTCTGTTGACTGTAGTAGGTTGTCTCTCTGTTGACTATAGTAGATTGTCTCTCTGTTGACTATAGTAGATTGTCTTTCTGTTGACTATAGTAGGTTGTCTCTCTGTTGACTATAGTAGATTGTCTCTCTGTTGACTATAGTAGATTGTCTTTCTGTTGACTATAGTAGGTTGTCTCTCTGTTGACTATAGTAGGTTGTCTCTCTGTTGTTTATTGTAGGTTTTTCTCTGTTGACTGTAGTAGGTTGTCTCTCTGTTGACTATAGTAGGTTGTCTCTCTGTTAACTGTAGTAGGTTGTCTCTTTGTTGACAGTAGTAGGTTGTCTTGTCTCTCTGTTGACTATAGTAGGTTGTCTGTCTGTTGACTGTAGTAAGTTGTCGCTCTTTTGACTATAGTAGGTTGTCTCTTTGTTGACTATAGTAGGTTGTCGCTCTGTTGACTATAGTAGGTTGTCTCTCTATTGACTATAGTAGGTTGTCACTCTGTTAACTATAGTAGGTTGTCTCTCTGTTGACTATAGTACGTTGTCTCTCTGTTGACTTCTTCTTCTTCTTCTTTCGTTCGCCTGAAATAAGTTGTCTATATCAGCAGTTTTATATCTTGTATAAATTTCACTGTCGTTGTTAGTTCATTCAGTGGTCCATAGAATTTACGTTCCACTGTTGTTCTTTCTGTCTAAAAAGGTTTGCCCTAATGTGTCAAAATCGGTGCAGTCCTGGAGTACATGCTCTGCTGTCTGGGGCACATTTCCACAGGTGCACATGGCTGATACACCTATCTTGAATTTTGTGTACATGTGGTTACGTAATCGGTTGTGCCCTGTTCTGAGGCGGAGGATAATGACTTGTTCTGGTCTGTCCATAATAAAATAGTCGTCTTGTGCTGGGGCTGGTGGTTTCCTGATCGATTTAATGATTCTTTTCTTTTGGTGGTATGTGACTGGTACATCCGGCTGCTCTTTTGTCGCACTTTCCCCTGCCAGTTGATCAGCTTTCTCATTTCCAGGCACTCCACAATGAGACGGTCTCCACTGCATTACGACTCTTCGCTGAACGCTGAGTTGTGTCAGCAGTGTTTGCAATTCTGGTAGTTTCCTTGACTGGAGTGCTTCAAGTACTGATTTAGCATCTGTCAGCATTACCACATACTGTGAGCCAAGGTTGGTATTTAGCAGTTTCTCTGTAGCTGTCTTGATAGCCTGGGTTTCTGCATCGTAATTATGGCAGTACTTCCCGGTTGGTACGCTGGACTTATCCCTAGTACCATCTGGGAATTCGATGTACATTCCAGCACCACCATTTCTAACTGCACTCTCTGCGGACCCATCTGTATAGACTCTGACCCATTGTTCTTGTGGGTATTCTTCATCAATATAACTGAGGGTGACCATTCTGCGTTGTACACTATCTTGCTCTTTCTTGTCAAATATCATTTTCAAATTGTTCTGGATTTGTACCGTTAGTTTACATTTTTCTCTCCATGGGGTTTGTTCCGGAATACTTTTAAGTGAGCAACCTATTTCTGGAAGGTCAGGAGTTTGTCTACATATTCTTTTTGCTTGGTGTATAAAGCTGCTTCTTTTTAATCGTCCCAAGGCTAGGTTCTAAAATCTATTTTCCATTGGGTGATCTGGCATACTGAGGAACTTTTCAGTTTTTTTTTTTTTTTTGCAACTTTGTATCTCTGCGTTCTCTCATTGCCTGTGTTTTCCCAGCTTTTTCCATTTCTAATATGAGGGTTGATTTCATCCTTCCTGTAATGACTCTGAGCGCTTGATTGTCTCTCTGTTGACTGTAGTAGGTTGTCTTTCTGTCGACTATAGTAGGTTGTCTCTCTGTTGACTGTAGTAGGTTGTCTCTCTGTCGAGTGTAGTAGGTTGTTTTTCTGTTGACTGTAGTAAGTTGTCTCTCTGTCGAGTGTAGTAGGTTGTTTTTCTGTTGACTGTAGTAGGTTGTCTCTCTGTCGACTATAGTAGGTTGTCTCTCTGTTGACTGTAGTAGGTTGTCTCTCTGTTGACTGTAGTAGGTTGTCTCTCTGTCGAATGTAGTAGGTTGTCTCTCTGTCGACTATAGTAGGTTCTCTCTCTGTTGACTGTAGTAGGTTGTCTCTCTGATGACTGTAGTAGGTTGTCTCTCTGTCGACTATAGTAGGTTGTCTCTCTGTTGACTGTAGTAGGTTGTCTCTCTGTTGACTGTAGTAGGTTGTCGCTCTGTTGACTATAGTAGGTTGTCTCTCTGTTGACTGTAGTAGGTTGTCTCTCTGATGACTGTAGTAGGTTGTCTCTCTGTCGACTATAGTAGGTTGTCTCTCTGTTGACTATAGTAGGTTGTCTCTCTGTTGACTATAGTAGGTTGTCTGTCTGTTGACTGTAGTAGGTTGTCTCTCTGTCGAATGTAGTAGGTTGTTTTTCTGATGACTGTTGTAGGTTGTCTCTCTGTCGAGTGTAGTAGGTTGTTTTTCTGTTGACTATAGTAGGTTGTCTCTCTGTCGAGTGTAGTAGGTTGTTTTTCTGTTGACTATAGTAGGTTGTCTCTCTGTTGGCTGTAGTAGGTTGTCTCTATGTTGACTGTAGTAGGTTGTCTCTCTGTTGACTGTAGTAGGTTGTCTCTCTATTGACTATAGTAGGTTGTCTCTCTATTGACTGTAGTAGGTTGTCGCTCTGTTGACTATAGTAGGTTGTCTCTCTGTTGACTGTAGTAGGTTGTCGCTCTGTTGACTGTAGTAGGTTGTCTCTCTGTTGACTGTAGTAGGTTGTCGCTCTGTTGACTGTAGTAGGTTGTCTCTCTGTTGGCTGTAGTAGGTTGTCTCTATGTTGACTGTAGTAGGTTGTCGCTCTGTTGACTGTAGTAGGTTGTCTCTATTGACTGTAGTAGGTTGTCGCTCTGTTGACTGTAGTAGGTTGTCTCTATTGACTGTAGTAGGTTGTCCCTATGTTGACTATAGTAGGTTGTCTCTCTATTGACTGTAGTAGGTTGTCTCTCTATTGACTGTAGTAGGTTGTCTCTCTATTGACTGTAGTAGGTTGTCTCTATTGACTGTAGTAGGTTGTCTCTATGTTGACTATAGTAGGTTGTCTCTCTATTGACTGTAGTAGGTTGTCTCTATGTTGACTGTAGTAGGTTGTCTCTATTGACTGTAGTAGGTTGTCTCTATGTTGACTATAGTAGGTTGTCTCTCTATTGACTGTAGTAGGTTGTCTCTCTATTGACTGTAGTAGGTTGTCTCTCTATTGACTGTAGTAGGTTGTCTCTCTATTGACTGTAGTAGGTTGTCTCTATTGACTGTAGTAGGTTGTCTCTATGTTGACTATAGTAGGTTGTCTCTCTATTGACTGTAGTAGGTTGTCTCTATGTTGACTATAGTAGGTTGTCTCTATGTTGACTATAGTAGGTTGTCTCTCTATTGACTGTAGTAGGTTGTCCCTCTGTTGACTATAGTAGGTTTTTCTCTATGTTGACTATAGTAGGTTGTCTCTCTATTGACTATAGTAGGTTGTCTCTCTATTGACTATAGTAGGTTGTCTCTCTATTGACTATAGTAGGTTGTCTCTCTATTGACTGTATTAGGTTGTCTCTATGTTGACTATAGTAGGTTGTCTCTCTATTGACTGTAGTAGGTTGTCTCTATGTTGACTATAGTAGGTTGTCTCTCTATTGACTGTAGTAGGTTGTCTCTCTGTTGACTATAGTAGGTTGTCTCTCTATTGACTGCAGTAGGTTGTCCGTCTGTTGACTTTCTATCAGCTACTGTATATTGTGTATCAGCTGCCCTACTCAACCAGGTGAGCCTATCAATCAGACAGACTCATTCAAGACTATCTACCAATTACTATCCGGCAGCAAGCCATCTACAGAGCGTCGCTCTCTATCAGGGCCCACCGGAACGACACTCCGTCTTCCGCCACATTTTCACCCTCCTGCACTTTCCTTCCCAAAGTGTCTCTCTCATCCTGACACCATCTTGGTGCTGGTTAGTCCCTGCCTCTCTTTCCCGGCACAAGCCCTTCGCTACAGTTTTATAATCGGCTGTGGCACTTAAAGTGCCCATAATATTTGTTGGAGAAACAAGCGTTTCCAGGATGTTTGGGGCCTTTAGCATGTCAGTGTCTCTGATCCTGTTGGTTCACGGTTTGCCCAGGTCCATCTGTCGTGGTTTGTCGGGACGGGACGTGAGAGAGGTTCTGGTGTTTGTCGGGACGGGACGTGAGAGAGGTTCTGGGGTTTGTCAGAACGTGAAGTGAGAGAGGTTCTGGGGTTTGTCGGGATGGGACGTGAGAGAAGTTCTGAGGTTTGTCAGGACGGGACGTGAGAGAGGTTCTGAGGTTTGTCGGGACGTGAAGTGAGAAAGGTTCTAAGGTTTGTCGGGACGTGAAGTGAGAGAGGCTCTGGGGTTTGTCGGGACATGAAGTGAGAGAGGTTCTGAGGTTTATCAGAACGTGAAGTTAGAGAGGTTCCTGGGGTGTGTTGGGTTGTGGGAGAGGTTCTGGGGTTTTTCGGGACGTGAAGTGAGAGGTTCTGGGGTTTGTCGGGACGTGAAGTGAGAGAGGTTTTGGGGTTTGTCGGGACGCGAGAGAGGTTCTGGGGTTTGTCGGGGCGTTAAGTGAGAGAGATTCTGAGGTTTATCAGGACGTGAAGTGAGAGAGGTCCTGAGGTTTATCAGGACATGAAGTGAGAGAGGTTCTGGGGTTTGTCGGGTTGTGAGAGAGGTTCTTGGGTTTGTCGGGACGTGAAGTGAGAAAGGTTCAGAGGTTTGTCGGGATGTGTAGTGAGAGAGGTTCTGGGGTTTGTCGGGACGTGAAGTGAGAGAGGTTCTGGGGTTTGTCGGGACGTGAAGTGAGAGAGGTTCTGAGGTTTGTCGGGACGTGAAGTATGAGAGATTCTGGGGTTTGTCGGAACGTGAGAGAGGTTCTGAGGTTTGTCGGGACATGAAATGAGAGAGGTTCTGGGGTTTGTCGGGACGTGAAGTGAGAGAGGTTCTGGGGTTTGACGGGACGTGAAGTGAGAGAGGTTCTGAGGTTTGTCAGGACGTAAGAGAGGTTCTGAGGTTTTTAGGGACGTGAAGTGAGAGAGGTTCTGGGGTTTTTCGGGACGTGAAGTGAGAGAGGTTCTGGGGTTTGCCGGGACGTGAAGTGAGAGAGGTTCTGGGGTTTTGCTGGAGGGGGACTGACTGACAAGCATGTTTGCTTCTGTGTGTGTACAGCTGCTGATGTGTAAGTGTGTGTGTGTGTGTGTTTATGTTCATGCTGTATATAGTTGAGTGGACAGATATTCCAACCTCGCCGGAAGGAGAAGACAAGTTATCATAGCGACAGACTGAGAAGAGAAGTTGTCATAGCGACAGACTGAGAAGACAAGTTGTCATAGCGACAGACTGAGAAGACAAGTTGTCACAGCGACAGACTGAGAAGACAAGTTGTCACATCGACAGACTGGGAAGACAAGTTGTCACAGAGACAGACTGAGAAGAGAAGTTGTCACAGCGATAGACTGAGAAGACAAGTTGTCACAGAGACAGACTGAGAAGAGGATAGACTGAGAAGACAAGTTGTCATAGCGACAGACTGAGAAGAGAAGTTGTCACAGCGACAGACTGAGAAGACAAGTTGTCACAGCGAGACTGAGAAGACAAATTGTCACAGAGACAGACTGAGAAGAGGATAGACTGAGAAGACAAGTTGTCACAGAGACAGACTGAGAAGAGGATAGACTGAGAAGACAAGTTGTCACAGCGAGACTGAGAAGACAAATTGTCACAGCGACAAACTGAGAAGACGATGGACTAAAAAGACAAGTTGTTACAGTTACAGATTGAAAAATACAAGTTGTTATAGCGACAGAAAACAAGACCGCACATTACAGACTGAGAAACAACTCTACATACCAACACAACTGCTTTGTGATCTAATATTTCCATCTCCTTCCAGCTACAAACGCCGAGCACATGCATATCTGGGGCACAGAAGGTCAAGGTTTGCTCCAGTTTGCCCACTTCTCGTTTGCCATCGGAGGAATGATCAGCCCAGCGTTTTCCGCGCCATTTCTTGCAGAGAAAGAGAATCAGACAGCGTTGGGGTCGTTTCTAAATGTGACACTGGGATCCACAGCAAATGAGACCAGGGATAACAGTTCAACTCTACATCCCATAACCGATGTTCAGTATGCATACTTCATTTCAGGAAGCATCTTATCTTTGACAGCGATTCCATTTCTAGTGATGTTATTTTTCTGTAAACAGTCTGCATCTCTCCAGCCCAAACATGTAGAAGGCAGCGCTCAAAGAAATATCCCAGTTTGTATGCAGATGTTCCTCGTTGCTATTATTTGTGCCTACTATATGACCTATGTGTGTATAGAGAACACTTTTAGCTCATTCCTGGAGTCTTTTGTAGTCACGCAGTACGATGAAGTCAGCGAAGAGGATGGCGCATACATTACAACGTTCTACTGGGCTGCCTTTGCAGTGGGCAGATTCTCGGCCATCTTTGTCTCAGACTGGCTCATCGCCGTTCGACTTTTGTACTTCCAGTTCTGCCTGATGGCTGTGGCATTTGGCGGGTTTCTGGCCAGCTCTCTCTACGGCCAGCTTGATGCCATGAAAGCATTCACTTGTTTGATCGGTCTAGCCCTGTCCTCTGTCTACCCGGCCGGTATTTCATGGATTGAAGCCGAAGTTATGACCGTGACTGGACGCATTGCTGGGGTCATTCTGGTGGGTAGCTCTATCGGGTCCACAGCCAACCCGTACATCATGGGCTACCTGATGGAGGAACAGTCCAACTTTTGGTTCTGTTACTTCCTCATGGGTTCAGTCGTCCTGACCATTTTACTGTTCCTGTTTCTGTTACTCTTCAACCGATTCTACGTTAACCTGAAATATGGCAAGTTTGATCACAGCCACACTCCAGACAAATATACAGATGTACAGTCTAAACAATCAGAGACTAAATATGCATAGACAAACTATTCAAAGGAAAACATGCATAGAAGAAACGTTCAGAGACAAAACATGCATAGACAAAACGTTCAGAGACACAACACATATAGACAAAACATTCAGAGACAAAAACATGCGTAGGCAAAACATTCAGAGACACAACATGCATAGACAAAACATTTAGAGACACAACATGCGTAGACAAAACATTCAGAGACACAACATGCGTAGACAAAACATTCAGAGGCACAACATGCGTAGACAAAACATTCAGAGACACAACATGCGTAGACAAAACATTCAGACACACAACATATATAGACAAAACATTCAGAGACACAACATGCGTAGACAAAACATTCAGAGACACAACATGCATAGACAAAACATTCAGAGACACAACATGTGTAGACAAAACATTCAGAGACACAACATGCGTAGTCAATACATTCAGAGACACAACATGCGTAGACAAAACATTCAGAGACACAACATGCGTAGACAAAATATACAGAGATAAAAAATACTGAGACAAAACATGCATACATAAAATATTCAGAGACACAACATGCATATACAAAAAATGCATAGACAAAACACTGAGAGACAAAACATGCACAGACAAAACATTCAAAAACACAACAAGAATACATAAAAAATTCAGAGACACAACATGTATACACAAAACATTCAACATGCACAAACAAAAAATAGGAGACAAAACATGCACAGACAGAACATTCAGAGACACAATTTGCATACACAAAAATGCAGACAAAACATAAATAGATAGAACACTCAGAGACAAGACATGCACAGACAAAACATTCTTAACACAACAAGCATACAAAAAACATTCAGAGAAAAACATGCAGTGACAACACATGCGTAGACAAAACCTGCATATACAAAAGATACATTGACAAAATATAGAGAGACAAAACATTCAGAGATAAAATACGCACAGACAACACTTATGAGGACAACACATACAAAATGTGCAGAGATGAGACAGGAACCGACCAAACATGGAAACTTCTAGATCAGCAAATGAGCAGACACAGTGAAACATGCCCAGTAATAAACTATTTAATGTATTGTTGCTGTACTTGTTATTTACATTTCAAAGATATCAGCCACTAAACATTATTTAGAAAATCTCATCCACAAAAACACTATCTCCATGAGCCAAAACACTCAACAACATCTCAATTACCTAACACATAAAAACACTGGACAATAATGTAAGCCGTAACCAAACAATCTCAAATATTCCATTACATTACAAAACTATATCAAATATCCTAACTACTGCTGAAATTCTGTATCATCTCATTACTTACATCATCACAGTAAAACACCATCTTAGTATTCATTGCTCATACAATCTAGGTAGCGCCCCCCCCCCCCTTTTCCGCTGTTTACATCATCTTTTTGCTTTCATTATCTCAGTAAAACACTAACTCATTGCTTTCATTATCTCAGTAAAACAGCACATCATTGCTGACATCATCACAGTAAAACAGCACATCACTGCTGACATCATCACAGTAAATAAACCCATGGTTTATATTATCCCAGTAAAACAGCAACTGACTGCTGACATCCGGCACACTGGGAGACTTGTGGTCGAAACTGACACAAAGCAATGTAGCTAGCAAAACCTGGCCTCAAATAAAGACCATTACCAGCGATTTAAAAAAAAAAAAGATCAGATCCCACTTTAAAAGCAGCCAGAGAAGCAATAACTGGTGAAGAAAAGGCCTACATTTTCAGATAACTTTTATGAAGTCTGCTTGCATGAAAGAATTGATCAAGCAAAAGAAAAAAAAAGTCCAGATCAAGTTAACGAAATTATGGAACAACCACAAAAGTCAGAGACAAATTATTATAACTGACAATGCAAAGACAAGTAGAAAATCTAACACTGAAGCTGGGGCTTAAATGTTTAACTATACAAAAATCAAAATGCTTCCAAATGACTGACTTACATAAGGAGAAATTCCCCAACAATGAAGGCAAGCCACAATAACAGCCATTAAATCATTTATTAGTAGACTTATGCTGACAGATAACCCCAAGGTCACATCAAAGTTTGATGGTGTGATTGACTTGAGAGCTTAGTAACAACTGGCAAGTTTGATGGAGCCATTGACTTGAGAGCTAGGTGACAACTAGCAAGTCTGATGGAGCTATTGACTTGAGAGCTTAGTAACAACTGGCAAGTTTGATGGAGCCATTGACTTGAGAGCTTAGTAACAACTGGCAAGTTTGATGGAGCCATTGACTTGAGAGCTTAGTAACAACTGGCAAGTTTGATGGAGCCATTGACTTGAGAGCTTAGTAACAACTGGCAAGTTTGATGGAGCCATTGACTTGAGAGCTTAGTAACAACTGGCAAGTTTGATGGAGCCATTGACTTGAGAGCTTAGTAACAACTGGCAAGTTTGATGGAGCCATTGACTTCAGAGCTAGGTGACAACTGGCAAGTTTGATGAAGCCATTGACTTCAGAGCTAGGTGACAACTAGCAAGTTTGATGGAGCCATTGACTTGAGAGCTTAGTAACAACTGGCAAGTTTGATGGAGCCATTGACTTCAGAGCTAGGTGACAACTGGCAAGTTTGATGGAGCCATTGACTTCAGAGATAGGTGACAACTGGCAAGTTTGATGGAGCCATTGACTTGAGAGCTTAGTAACAACTGGCAAGTTTGATGGAGCCATTGACTTCAGAGCTAGGTGACAACTGGCAAGTTTGATGAAGCCATTGACTTCAGAGCTAGGTGACAACTAGCAAGTTTGATGGAGCCATTGACTTGAGAGCTTAGTAACAACTGGCAAGTTTGATGGAGCCATTGACTTGAGAGCTTAGTAACAACTGGCAAGTTTGACGGAGCCATTGACTTGAGAGCTAGGTGACAACTGGCAAGTTTGATGGAGCCATTGACTTGAGAGCTTAGTAACAACTGGCAAGTTTGATGGAGCCATTGACTTGAGAGCTTAGTAACAACTGGCAAGTTTGATGGAGCCATTGACTTCAGAGCTAGGTGACAACTGGCAAGTTTGATGAAGCCATTGACTTCAGAGCTAGGTGACAACTAGCAAGTTTGATGGAGCCATTGACTTGAGAGCTAGGTGACAACTAGCAAGTTTGATGGAGCCATTGACTTGAGAGCTAGGTGACAACTAGCAAGTTTGATGGAGCTATTGACTTGAGAGCTAGGTGACAACTAGCAAGTTTGATGGAGCCATTGACTTGAGAGCTTAGTAACAACTGGCAAGTTTGATGGAGCCATTGACTTCAGAGCTAGGTGACAACTGGCAAGTTTAATGGAGCCATTGACTTGAGAGCTAGGTGACAACTGGCAAGTCTGATGGAGCCATTGACTTGAGAGCTAGGTGACAACTGGCAAGTCTGATGGAGCTATTGACTTGAGAGCTAGGTGACAACTGGCAAGTTTGATGGAGCCATTGACTTGAGAGCTAGGTGACAACTAGCAAGTCTGATGGAGCCATTGACTTGAGAGCTAGGTGACAACTGGCAAGTTTGATGGAGCCATTGACTTGAGAGCTTAGTAACAACTGGCAAGTTTGATGGAGCCATTGACTTGAGAGCTTAGTAACAACTGGCAAGTTTGATGGAGCCATTGACTTGAGAGCTAGGTGACAACTGGCAAGTCTGATGGAGCCATTGACTTAAGAGCTAGGTGACAACTGGCAAGTCTCATGGAGCCATTGACTTGAGAGCTAGGTGACAACTAGCAAGTCTGATGGAGCCATTGACTTGAGAGCTAGGTGACAACTGGCAAGTTTGATGGAGCCATTGACTTAAGAGCTAGGTGACAACTGGCAAGTCTGATGGAGCCATTGACTTCAGAGCTAGGTGACAACTGGCAAGTTTGATGGAGCCATTGACTTGAGAGCTAGGTGACAACTAGCAAGTTTGATGGAGCCATTGACTTGAGAGCTAGGTGACAACTGGCAAGTTTGATGGAGCCATTGACTTGAGAGCTAGGTGACAACTAGCAAGTCTGATGGAGCCATTGACTTGAGAGCTAGGTGACAACTGGCAAGTTTGATGGAGCCATTGACTTGAGAGCTAGGTGACAACTGGCAAGTTTGATAGACGGACTGACTTGAGAGCTTAGTAACAACTAGCAAGTTTAATGGAGCCATTGACTTGAGAGCTAGGTGACAACTAGCAAGTTTGATGGAGCCATTGACTTGAGAGCTAGGTGACAACTGGCAAGTCTGATGGAGCCATTGACTTGAGAGCTAGGTGACAACTGGCAAGTTTGATAGACGGACTGACTTGAGAGCTTAGTAACAACTAGCAAGTTTAATGGAGCCATTGACTTGAGAGCTAGGTGACAACTGGCAAGTTTGATGGAGCCATTGACTTGAGAGCTAGGTGACAACTAGCAAGTCTGATGGAGCCATTGACTTGAGAGCTAGGTGACAACTAGCAAGTCTGATGGAGCCATTGACTTGAGAGCTAGGTGACAACTGGCAATTTTGATGGAGCTATTGACTTGAGAGCTAGGTGACAACTTGCAAGTTTGATGGAGCCATTGACTTCAGAGCTAGGTGACAACTAGCAAGTCTGATGGAGCCATTGACTTGAGAGCTAGGTGACAACTAGCAAGTCTGATGGAGCCATTGACTTGAGAGCTAGGTGACAACTAGCAAGTCTGATGGAGCCATTGACTTGAGAGCTAGGTGACAACTGGCAAGTTTGATGGAGCCATTGACTTTAGAGCTAGGTGACAACTAGCAAGTCTGATGAAGCCATTGACTTCAGAGCTAGGTGACAACTAGCAAGTCTGATGGAAAGAGAACAAGGAAAAGGCAAAGAGATAAATACCTGGGTGGCTTAGTTATATGGATAGGGCAAGACAAGAACATTGACCTAATCTATGAGACTAATGATCGTGTGAGATAGCGAAACATGTCAGAAAATTACATGTGGATTGCCCTGTCTTTGTTTGGACATGGTTATGAATACCAGCACAAGAAAGAGAGTTGGAATAAGATCATACCTGGACAAAGAATGAAATGGTATGGCCATCTGGTGAGAATTCAGCCAGACCAAACTGCATATGAAACTTTATAAAGCAGAACATCTGGGAGAGGGGCAATGGGGAAGACTAAGAAACAAATGTATAAATGGTGTAGCTGAAACCTGCAAAAAGATGAACAAATCCATCAGCCAAGAAGCGCAAGACATACAGAAAACTACGACACTGGGCTACAACCTGGTATCAGTGAGATGACAAAACCAGAACATTGGGCTACAACCTGGTATCAGTGAGATGACAAAACCAGGACACTGGACTACAACCTGGTATCAGTGAGATGACAAAACCGGGACACTGGGCTACAACCTGGTATCAGTGAGATGACAAGACCAGGACACTGGGCTACAACCTGGTATCAGTGAGATGACAAAACCGGGACACTGGGCTACAACCTGGTATCAGTGAGATGACAAAACCGGGACACTGGGCTACAACCTGGTATCAGTGAGATGACAAAACCGGGACACTGGGCTACAACCTGGTATCAGTGAGATGACAAGACCAGGACACTGGGCTACAACCTGGTATCAGTGAGATGACAAAACCGGGACACTGGGCTACAACCTGGTATCAGTGAGATGACAAAACCGGGACACTGGGCTACAACCTGGTATCAGTGAGATGACAAAACCGGGACACTGGGCTACAACCTGGTATCAGTGAGATGACAAAACCAGGACATTGGGCTACAACCTGGTATCAGTGAGATGACAAAACCGGGACACTGGGCTACAACCTGGTATCAGTGAGATGACAAAACCAGTACACTGGGCTACAACTTGGTATCAGTGAGACGACAAAACCGGGACACTGGGCTACAACCTGGTATCAGTGAGATGACAAAACCAGGACACTGGGCTACAACTTGGTATCAGTGAAACGACAAAACCGGGACATTGGGCTACAATCTGGTATCAGTGAGACGACAAAACCGGGACATTGGGCTACAACCTGGTATCAGTGAGACGACAAAACCAGGACATTGGGCTACAACCTGGTATCAGTGAAACAACAAAACCAGGACATTGGGCTACAACCTGGTATCAGTGAGACGACAAAACCAGAACACTGGGCTACAACCTGGTATCAGTGAGATGACAAAACCAGGACATTGGGCTACAACCTGGTATCAGTGAGATGACAAAACCGGGACATTGGGCTACAACCTGGTATCAGTGAGATGACAAAACCGGGACATTGGGCTACAACCTGGTATCAGTGAGATGACAAAACCAGGACATTGGGCTACAACCTGGTATCAGTGAGATGACAAAACCAGGACATTGGGCTACAACCTGGTATCAGTGAGACGACAAAACCAGGACATTGGGCTACAACCTGGTATCAGTGAGATGACAAAACCAGGACATTGGGCTACAACCTGGTATCAGTGAGACGACAAAACCAGGACATTGGGCTACAACCTGGTATCAGTGAGACCACAAAAACAGGACATTGGGCTACAACTTGGTATCAGTGAGATGACAAAACCAGGACATTGGGCTACAACCTGGTATCAGTGAGATGACAAAACCAGGACACTGGGCTACAACCTGGTATCAGTGAGACAAAAAACCAGGACATTGGGCTACAACCTGGTATCAGTGAGATGACAAAACCAGGACACTGGGCTACAACCTGGTATCAGTGAGACGACAAAACCAGGACATTGGGCTACAACCTGGTATCAGTGAGACGACAAAACCAGGACATTGGGCTACAACCTGGTATCAGTGAGATGACAGAAGAAGAAGAAATGAAGACAGCCTGCAATTATATACACAGCACATGAGGATGATGACCCTGTTTGTTCGTATGTCCTGGGAAGAAACTCCAAGACTTGCTTCTGACATCCGTCTCGTGAAGCTACAAGCAGACTATTTGTGTGTGTGTGGTTAGTTGACCTGTGTGTTACTTGCCCCGAGCTTTGAAGGTTAGTTTCACAGACTTTAGTCAAGACTCCCTCTCTCTCTATCCCATCTATGTGTACACACATCTTATCCCTTTACAACAATATAACATAGTATTCAAAAGGTGTTTGTCAGCCTACAGTTACTGTGTTAGGTTTGTGCAGGTATCTAACTATGTTCAGTGTCGGCCAGAATGCAGTCAACTCCAATAACCTGCAGGCAGTTCAGCTAACTCCGACAGCTGCAATCATCAATCAACTCTGACAGCTGCAATCATCAATCAACTCTGACAGCTGCAATCATGAATCAACTCCGACAGCTGCAATCATCAATCAACTCCGACAGCTGCAATCATCAATCAACTCCGACAGCTGCAATCATCAATCAACTCCGACAGCTGCAATCATCAATCAACTCTGACAGCCTGCAATCATCAATCAACTCCAAATGTCTGCCCCTCGGCTCTAAAATGCTGCAGCTGGCTCCAGAAATGTGATTTACTGCTGCAGACATGATGACAAGACAAAGCTGGTGTATCTGATCCTGGACTCTCATTACTTCCTGTAATATGATCTACCAGAGAACACTCTCTGGACTCTCTTGGTGCAGAGCTGACATCTACAGTTTTCACAGATGCACCTGTGTTCACAATGGACAGATTTGAACAGTTGCCACCTATAGTATGATGAACTTGACTTGCTGGTTGTTGCCAGCCAGACTCAGTGGGGCTTAACTGCATCAGGAGACTTGGGATGCTGGAGAGGAGTTCTGTGTTGGAGGAGAGAAGCTTCTGTAACTGATGAGACACAAGGCTGCTTGGTGCTTTTGGCTGTCCAACACTGCCAGCTCTTAGTTCTGACAGATTCCCAGCAGGATAACTTAGGTGTGCACTGGGGGAAGAGAAACAATAAGGCCTCAGACACACTTCAATACACAACATCTGACTTTAGGCACATGTAAGTATACAACATCTGGCTTTAGGCACATGTAAGTACACAACATCTGGCTTTAGGCACATGTAAGTACACAACATCTGGTTTTAGGCACATGTAAGTACACAACCTCTGACTTTAGGCACATGTAAGTATATAACATCTGGCTTTAGGCACATGTAAGCACACAGCATCTGACTTCAGGCATATGTAAGTACACAATATCTTATTTCAGACGCCCAGTCATCACAGGAGGGATGAAATCAACCCCCATATTAGAAATGGAGAATGCTGGGAAAACACAGGCACTGAGAGAACGCAGAGATACAAAGTTGCAAATACAAGCTGAAAAGTTCCTCACTATGCCAGATCACCCCATGAAAAACTGATTTTAGAACCAAGCCTTAGGACGATTAAAAAGAAGCAGCTTTATACACCAAGCAAAAAGAATATGTAGACAAACTGCTGACCTTCCAGAAATTGGTTGTCCACTTAACAGTATTCCAGAACAAACCCCATTGAGAGAGAAATGCAAACTAACAGTACAAATCCAGACAAATGTGAAAGGGATATTTGACAAGAAAGAGCAAGATAGTGTACAACGCAGAATGGCCACCCTGTTATATTGATGAAGAATACCACAAGAACAATGGGTCAGAGTCTATACAGATGGGTCCGAGTCTATACAGATGGGTCCGAGTCTATACAGATGGGTCCGAGTCTATACAGATGCAATAGATACCATTTCATTGTGGAGTACATGGAAATGAGAAAGCTGATCAACCGGCGACAAAAGTGCAGCCGAATGTACCAGTCACATACCACCAAAAGAAAAGAATCATTAAACTGATCAGGAAACCACCAGCCCCAGCACAAGATGACTATTTTATTATGGATAGATCAGAATAAGTCATTATTTTCCACCTCAGAACAGGGCACAACCGATTACGTAACCACATGTACACAAAATTCAAGATAGGGGTATCAGCCATGTGCATCTGTGGAAAGGTACACAACATCTGACTTTAGATACATGCAAGTACACAACATCTGACTTTAGATACATGTAAGTACACAACATCTGACTTCAGGCACATGCAAGTACACAACATCTGACTTCAGGCACATGCAAGTACACAACATCTGACTTTAGATACATGTAAGTACACAACATCTGACTTTAGATACATGTAAATACACAACATCTGACTTTAGATACATGCAAGTACACAACATCTGACTTCAGATACATGCAAGTACACAACATCTGACTTTAGATACATGTAAGTACACAACATCTGACTTCAGATACATGCAAGTACACAACATCTGACTTTAGATACATGTAAGTACACAACATCTGACTTCAGTCACATGCAAGTACACAACATCTGACTTCAGGCACATGCAAGTACACAATATCTGACTTTAGATACATGTAAGTACACAACATCTGACTTTAGATACATGTAAGTACACAACATCTGACTTTAGATACATGCAAGTACACAACATCTGACTTTAGATACATGCAAGTACACAACATCTGACTTTAGATACATGTAAGTACACAACATCTGACTTTAGATACATGTAAGTACACAACATCTGACTTTAGATACATGCAAGTACACAACATCTGACTTTAGATACATGTAAGTACACAACATCTGACTTTAGATACATGTAAGTACACAACATCTGACTTTAGATACATGTAAGTACACAACATCTGACTTTAGATACATGTAAGTACACAACATCTGACTTTAGATACATGCAAGTACACAACATCTGACTTTTAGCAATACATGCAAGTACACAACATCTGACTTTAGATACATGTAAGTACACAACATCTGACTTTAGATACATGTAAGTACACAACATCTGACTTTAGATACATGCAAGTACACAACATCTGACTTTAGATACATGTAAGTACACAACATCTGACTTTAGATACATGTAAGTACACAACATCTGACTTTAGATACATGTAAGTACACAACATCTGACTTTAGATACATGCAAGTACACAACATCTGACTTTAGATACATGTAAGTACACAACATCTGACTTTAGATACATGTAAGTACACAACATCTGACTTTAGATACATGTAAGTACACAACATCTGACTTTAGATACATGCAAGTACACAACATCTGACTTTAGATACATGTAAGTACACAACATCTGACTTTAGATACATGTAAGTACACAACATCTGACTTTAGATACATGTAAGTACACAACATCTGACTTTAGATACATATAAGTACATATCTGACTTTAGATACATGTAAGTACACAACATCTGACTTTAGATACATATAAGTACATATCTGACTTTAGATACATGTAAGTACACAACATCTGACTTTAGATACATATAAGTACATATCTGACTTTAAACGCATATACTAGGATACTGTCTTCTCGGTGTGCTGACTGGTTGCTAGGTTTTTTTTAGATGTAAGATATAGATGACATTCTGAATGCACACAGCTGGTAATTAGTAGATGATATCCAGTTAATATTCTTGATTAGTTTCAGAGGCGATCTGGTCCAGTCGTCTACTAATAATTAGCAGGTCCAGCAAGATAGGATGATATTTGTCAGACATCAACTTGACGCCCCCTCTCGTTCACACTCGTCACCTCTCAGTCCTATTTCCTCACACGCCAGGTATACACACAATGGTTGATTCAGCAGTTTCGATCATAGCAGTTTGACTTCTTGACCGGTTGGAACTTGTTGGCTACCACTTGGGATTTGACTGTCATCTTGCAGTCTTCTCATGAACAGAAATTCCTTGACGCTGTCAAATATACAGGGTTACATTCACGTGTCCATCGGATACAACCTTTCATGCCAGCTGCCAAACACCTACTAGCTGATTAGACCTTGGTCTAACCTTATAACTCTCATTCTGGGTTTCTCGTGCTAGTCTGAGCTTGCTTGTTTTTCTTGTGTGTTTCTACAAGTATTCACATTTTCATGTATTTCTCTCTTATCTGAAGATTTACTCCCCTATTAATGCTTAGGAATTCCTGTGGGAAAATACCAACAATACAGTTCTGCTTCGTGCTCTTCTGGCTGCTTCGTGCTCTTCTGGCTGCTTCGTGCTCTTCTGGCTGCTTCGTGCTCTTCTGGCTGCTTCGTGCTCTTCTGGCTGTTTCGTGCTCTTCTGGCTGCTTCGTGCTCTTCTGGCTGCTTCGTACTCTTCTGGCTGCTTCGTGCTCTTCTGGCAGCTTCGTGCTCTTCTGGCTGCTTCGTACTCTTCTGGCTGCTTCGTACTCTTCTGGCTGCTTCGTACTCTTCTGGCTGCTTCGTGCTCTTCTGGCTGCTTCGTGCTCTTCTGGCTGCTTCGTGCTCTTCTGGCTGCTTCGTGCTCTTCTGGCAGCTTCGTGCTCTTCTGGCTGCTTCGTGCTCTTCTGGCTGCTTCGTGCTCTTCTGGCAGCTTCGTGCTCTTCTGGCTGCTTCGTACTCTTCTGGCTGCTTCGTACTCTTCTGGCTGCTTCGTACTCTTCTGGCTGCTTCGTGCTCTTCTGGCTGCTTCGTGCTCTTCTGGCTGCTTCGACCAAAGACACCAGGTGGTGCTGTAGAGTTTCTCTGATATTATCTTCCCATCTTGTTCTACCTCTTGTTCTACATCCCTCTCCTCTTTTGGTATATGCCTTGCATCCTACCTAGTGTTACATCTAATGTGTTGGGGCTTGTTTAGTCTTTCCTACCTAGTGTTACATCTAATGTGTTGGGGCTTATTTAGTCTTTCCTACCTAGTGGTACATCTGATGTATAGGGGCTTATTAAGTCCTTCCTACCTAGTGTTACATCTAATGTGTTGGGGCTTATTTAGTCCTTCCTACCTAGTGTTACATCTAATGCGTTGGGGCTTGTTTAGTCTTTCCTACCTAGTGTTACATCTAATGTGTTGGGGCTTGTTTAGTCTTTCCTACCTAGTGTTACATTTGATGTGTTGGGGCTTATTTAGTATTTCCTACCTAGTGTTACATCTGATGTGTTGGTGCTTATTTAGTCCTTCCTACCTAGTGTTACATCTAATGTGTTGGGGTTTATTTAGTCCTTCCTGCCTAGTGTTACATCTAATGTGTTGGGGCTTATTTAGTCTTTCCTACCTAGTGTTATATCTAATGTGTTGGGGCTTATTTAGTCTTTCCTACCTAGTGTTACATCTGATGTGTTGGGGCTTATTTAGTCTTTCCTACCTAGTGTTACATCTGATGTATAGGGGGCTTGTTTAGTCTTTCCTACCTAGTGTTACATCTGATGTGTTGGGGCTTATTTAGTCTTTCCTACCTAGTGTTACATCTAATGTGTTGGGGCTTATTTAGTCCTTCCTACCTAGTGTTACATCTAATGTGTTGGGGCTTGTTTAGTCTTTCCTACCTAGTGTTACATCTAATGTGTTGGGGCTTATTTAGTCTTTCCTACCTAGTGGTACATCTGATGTATAGGGGCTTATTAAGTCCTTCCTACCTAGTGTTACATCTAATGTGTTGGGGCTTATTTAGTCCTTCCTACCTAGTGTTACATCTAATGCGTTGGGGCTTGTTTAGTCTTTCCTACCTAGTGTTACATCTAATGTGTTGGGGCTTGTTTAGTCTTTCCTACCTAGTGTTACATTTGATGTGTTGGGGCTTATTTAGTATTTCCTACCTAGTGTTACATCTGATGTGTTGGTGCTTATTTAGTCCTTCCTACCTAGTGTTACATCTAATGTGTTGGGGTTTATTTAGTCCTTCCTGCCTAGTGTTACATCTAATGTGTTGGGGCTTATTTAGTCTTTCCTACCTAGTGTTATATCTAATGTGTTGGGGCTTATTTAGTCTTTCCTACCTAGTGTTACATCTGATGTGTTGGGGCTTATTTAGTCTTTCCTACCTAGTGTTACATCTGATGTATAGGGGGCTTGTTTAGTCTTTCCTACCTAGTGTTACATCTGATGTGTTGGGGCTTATTTAGTCTTTCCTACCTAGTGTTACATCTAATGTGTTGGGGCTTATTTAGTCTTTCTACCTAGTGTTACATCTAATGTGTTAGGGCTTATTTAGTCTTTCCTACCTAGTGTTACACCTGATGTGTTGGGGTTTATTTAGTCCTTCCTACCTAGTGTTGGCGGCGTCCGTGGCTAAGGCGTTGCGAGTCCGACTCGTGAGCCAGCATACCGCGATCGAAACCCACTGCAGGCTGCGTGGATTTTTGTCGTGGTATGGGACATCGCAGGTCGACCCAGCCTAAAATGGGTACCAGGATGGGCTGTCCTGGGAAAGTAAAGACAGCCGGCGTAATGCTGACCACATTACCCACAGAGTGCTGATGGTCTGTAAAAATATGGGACGCTCTGCCCATATGCCCGATACGCCGAAAGGCGTGAAAAGGGATCTTTACTTTACTTTACTTACCTAGTGTTACATCTGATGTGTTGGGGCTTATTTAGTTTTTCCTACCTAGTTTTACACCTGATGTGTTGGGGTTTATTTAGTCCTTCCTACCTAGTGTTACACCTGATGTGTTGGGGCTTATTTAGTCCTTCCTACCTAGTGTTACATCTGATGTATAGGGGCTTGTTCAGTCTTTCCTACCTAGTGTTACATCTGATGTGTTGGGGCTTATTTAGTCCTTCCTACCTAGTGTTACATCTGATGTGTTGGGGCTTATTTAGTCCTTCCTACCTAGTGTTACATCTGATGTGTTGGGGCCTATTTAGTCCTTCCTACCTAGTGTTACATCTAAAGTGTTGGGGCTTATTTAGTCTTTCTTACCTACTGTTACATATAATGTGTTGGGGCATATTTAGTCTTTCTTACCTACTGTTACATCTAATGTGTTGGGGCATATTTAGCCTTTCTTACCTACTGTTACATCTGATGTGTTGGGGCTTATTTAGTCTTTCCTACCTAGTGTTACATCTGATGTGTTGGGGCTTATTTAGTCCTCCATACCTAGTGTTACATCTGATGTGTTGAAGCTTCCCTAAAGTTCATCATTTGTCATCCTATTAAACAGTTGCATTTCTTTTATTACGCACATCTTCATCACTATCATCCATTCTTTTTTAAATCTATAGACCATCTTGGGCTTGCTATCATTCTTCCATGATATTGGGTACAGAAACCAGTCAATGAATGTAGTTTATTGTGAGACCTACAGAGAAGAAATCATAGGGACATGTACACAGCAGTTACCAGATAGCTCCCTGTAGTCGCCCACCAGCCAGCGACATCTGTAAGGCCTCCCTATAGCCAGCATTAAACCCAAACTGCAGTGTCTGCTCCTGGCTGGCATCCATGCCTGTACGGAAGCCATCCTGGCGATCAAACACAAGGCAATTTAAATCAATGTAACAATGCATAGCCATCCTGACGATCAAACACAAGGCAATTTACTTCAATGCCACCATGTCAAGCCATCCTGACGATCAAACACACAGAAATTTACTTCAGTGCAACATTATCAGATCTCATTTATGTTCCAGACATGTGGCAACATTAGCAGATCTCATATTTAAGAGATGTGGCAACATTATCAGATCTCATATTTAAGAGATGTGGCAACATTATCAGATCTCATATTTAAAAGATGTGGCAACATTATCAGATCTCATATTTAAGAGATGTGGCAACATTATCAGATCTCATGTTCAAGAGATGTGGCAACATTATCAGATCTCATGTATCAGAGATGTGGCAACATTATCAGATCTTATTTATGTTCCAGAGATGTGGCAACATTATCAGATCTCTCTCACCAAATAAATCTTTAATTTGTTTAGCTTTTTCTTCTTAAAGTCCACACCATGTGGTACTGGTAGTCATGTTTATCCACAAACTTCTGTCCATGATTCACTTTCATATATCAACATAGGATTTATATAGCTTTTAAAAATTCTTTTCCTCATCTCAACTGACAAAGAAAGATTACAACATATTCTTTAAAATTATATATATATATATATATATATATATATATATATATATATTTATATATTTATATATATATATTATATAAAAATATTTATTGTGTCAAATGCTGCCTTTGCTTGAGCTATTCAATATTTAACTTCCTAAATACATCTTCCACCTGATGTTATCAGGGTAGACAAGTATTTCAACATATCAACTTGATGGAGGTTTATCCCATTTACTGTTGAGTTGGGTCAAGAATTGACATCCCAGCACTCAGGGCATTCCCATGCATGCTCTGTCCTCATCTTCAGCAACCAGCGCAGAATTCCAATACTGATGGTACTGGTCACAATCTGGTTAAAAGTCCATCTTGCCTTTTCTCTGAGTGTAGTGAGCCGGCCAGACCCTCTGGTTACACACAGGTGCCTCGTTCTCACCAGGCCATATTAATCTTCTTTCTCTACTGATTCTGTTGCTTGTTCCCAAAGGACCTTGACCACATCTGCTCTGTCATGTATCAATTCACCACCCAGTGGTGCAGATCCAGCCAATCTGTCTGCCTGTTTATTACCCACCACGCCGGCATAACCTGGAGAAAAGATCTAAAGTATGCTCACCAACAGGGACCTTTCCAGTGAAGCTAGCCATTTTGCTCAAAGCATCCCTGTCCTCACCTTCTTCAGCATGCTTTCAGAGTCTGTTACAATTACGACATGTTTATGCATCTTGTTCTCTAGCCACCAATGAGCTGCAGTTACCGCCTCCACCTCCATTCTCATGATTGATGTTGTGGTGTCATATGCTAGACTAAAGATTTTCCATTGACTTTCGCTACGAATCCCCAGGCACTTCTCTTTCCTGTCAACACTGAACCATCTGTATAGATAATCAGATCACCTGGGCATGAATCAACTGTTGGACTTTAACCTCTGTAGCACATCCAGCCCAGTGTTATCATAACCCTACATAGGTCAGACTTTTTCCCGCTGGTACTCTGACCCACTCCTCGTCCAATGTTCTCCAGCATGCATACTTGTCTTATTGTGTCTTCTGCTTAAGCCATCCACGATTTTCCCCTTTTCAGCCTCTGACCCTTGCCTGCAGCCAAAGCTTCCTACAGAGGGTGTTCCCTGTCTACATCTACTCTGAGGTATGACTTAGCCTGCAGCACCTTTAGTCTATCTGCAATAGTCCGCAATGCAAGAATGTATCGCATGCACACAATCGGGGTGTCTTTTGTACAACCCAGGATCAGCCACATAGCTTCATTCTGTATGCGTTCCAGTTTCTCTAGCTGACTCTTCGAGACACCCATTTACTTTGATACTGCATTTCAGAGGGTCAGTTTTCTTTGTAATTACAGTTACTTTGGTTTTTCTGCTGTTCAAACTAAGACCCTTGTTTCACTAACTGTTACACGTTACAATTATATCCATCTTTCCTACAGCTGTGTTTCATTGTCAGCAATCAAAGCTATATCGTCAGCATACAGCAGCTTGTTAACAATCTGCCCAACAACAGCTATTCCTGGCATACCATGTATGGATGCCCAACAACAGCTATTCCTGGCATACCATGTATGGATGCCCAACAACAGCTATTCCTGGCTTACCATGTATGGATGCCCAACAACAGCTAATCCTGGCATACCATGTATGGATGCTCAACAACAGCTATTCCTGGCATACCATGTATGGATGCCCAACAACAGCTATTCCTGGCATACCATGTATGGATGCCCAACAACAGCTATTCCTGGCATACCATGTATGGATGCCCAACAACAGCTATTCCTGGCTTACCATGTATGGATGCCCAACAACAGCTAATCCTGGCATACCATGTATGGATGCCCAACAACAGCTATTCCTGGCATACCATGTATGGATGCCCAACAACAGCTATTCCTGGCATACCATGTATGGATGCCCAACAACAGCAATTCCTGGCATACCATGTATGGATGCCCAACAACAGCTATTCCTGGCTTACCATGTATGGATGCCCAACAACAGCTAATCCTGGCATACCATGTATGGATGCCCAACAACAGCTATTCCTGGCATACCATGTATGGATGCCCAATAACAGCTATTCCTGGCATACCATGTATGGATGCCCAACAACAGCTATTCCTGGCATACCATGTATGGATGCCCAACAACAGTTATTCCTGGCATACCATGTATGGATGCCCAACAACAGCTATTCCTGGCATACGATGTATGGATGCCCAACAACAGCTATTCCTGGCATACCATGTATGGATGCCCAACAACAGCTATTCCTGGCATACCATGTATGCATCTAATTATGATTTCACTGTACAAAATGAATAAATCGGGTGATAGTACACATTCCTGTCTAACAACTTGTTTCTTCTTTTGTCAATATCTGCTTATGCCGCTAGGCGTAGCAGTTTATCAGACGACTGGTAGCTGAGCCAGGGCATGCTCAGTCGCTTGATAGGCCGCGATGTTATGCAGTCTCAAGGTGTCTGTGAATTCTTCAATCTATTCTTCTCAGTCTAATCCTGCCTCTTAATGTTTTGATTTTCAGGATGTTCGCACTTGCTGCTGGCATCGTTGGTTTCAATCTCATTAGATGGCAAAACCATTTCTTCATTCTTTGTTTCTTAATAAATGTGACGATGGGTGTTGTTGCAACAGTTCTTGTGATAACGTCATTTCTCTCATGTTCTTTTGTCAATGTCCAAGTCTGACAATAGAAACCTAAAGTCAGTATATAAATATTATATTAATAATTTGTCTTGTTGTCTCTGTTGGAATAGCAGGGTGTTGTACACTTGAAGCAAGTTGGTACGTGACACTGTTGGCTTCTTGTTTCTACCTCTGTCTATTTTACTACTGTATGTAAAGATGCTACCCAAGTGTTTCAATTCTTGCCTTGTTTCATATTTTTAAAAGTTCCAACTTGGTTGTCAGTTTCCATGGCTGTTTCTTATTTTTTTTAATTCTCAGATCTTTACCATCAATGCATAAGGTTTCAAAAATTCTAATAATTTCTTCACGTGATCAAATGCTTTAGTGTCATCAATAAAGCACAAATTCAGATCTTTATTGACGTCAATCATTTTTTTTCTAGAAGTGTTGTCTCTGTCCAGTATTGAGTGAATTTGTTCAATGTCATTGCAATCAAATGTTGGGGATATGGTTGGCCATGAATAAAATTAGCTCAATAGGAGCATTTATTTAACGATTGATAAAATATTTCAACCCTTAAAGTGAATTAAATTTGTGAATAAAGATGACAATTGTTTTTTTTTATTTTTATATGTTTATTTGTCATGTTACAATAAGCATTTATAAATGCTCGATTTTAAAAGCACCTCTAGTTGAAGTCTGAGTGACTTCCTGCATTAACTGGAGTTAAAGCTGCAAGAGAAGTCATCTGCAAGAGTTTTTGTCAGGAACACAGACAATCCTAAACTGTGTGGTACAGCTTGAAACAGGGTGTCAAGCATAGAAGTGGACTGCAATCTAGCAGTATATGGAAGTCTAGCTTCTTTTACCAGCAGCCTTACACTTTTTATGGTCTGGCTTGTCACATTTATCAATAAAATAGCACTCAGTGAGTCGTGATGTTGTGACTTGTGGTCTTGAAGATGTGACGTCCTGCTGGAACCTCTCTGCTGTGACCTTATACACAGAGTTGGCAGTGTTGTAGTTTATATGCTCACTGACCAGAGCAGTTTCAACTTAAAAATAAATAAATGATATAATGGCAGGTGCCAGTTATAAGATCTAGGTGCTCAGGGGTAGTCTGCACACACTTGGCCAAAGTGATCGACACCATCAGCCCCCACCTCGCCCATTATTTTGTTGTATTTTTCTGAAAGAGCTTGCTTGTTTATTATTCTGCCCATAGGAATTCCACTTTTTCCAACTGTCTTGTCCATAACAGCATTGGAGTAAACAGTGGACATCATGTAAACTCTCTTAGTGTCATGCCAGGTAACAGCCAAAAGGACTTCATCTTTTGTCACACATAAAAGGATCAGCTGCCTTTTACAGTTTCAGCTGCTTTTTCTTTAACAAATTAATCAGCATACACCCAAGTGTGTCTGACAAGGCAGCTTGTTTTTCTTCGTTTGAAAGAAGATTGTCAAGCTTAACAAGTTCATTTTCAGCAGCCCTGCTCAACGTACAAACAGCATTTTCAGCTGCACAAATATTCTGGTCTCTTGTGCCATGCCCACTATTCTTGTCTCTTGCGCCATGCCCACTATTCTGGTCTCTTGTGCCATGCCCACTATTCTGGTCTCTTGTGCCAAGCCCACTATTCTGGTCTCTTGTGTCAAGCCCACTATTCTGGTCTCTTATGCCAAGCCCACTATTCTGGTCTCTTGTGCCATGCCCACTATTCTGGTCTCTTGTGCCATGCCCACTTATTTCTTTAGATGTACTGACAACAACACCGTTATCAAGTCTATCGTTGTTGTCACTACTTTCAGTTTTGATATCAGGATAACATTCACCTGTGTATCTCTATCCAGGAATTATCATTTCCAGCACTACTTTTGCAGATTCCCAGTCAATAATACTACGGGTCTGGTTTTGACAACAGATATGACAAAAAGACTGAATATGAGCTGGTGATGAAAACTACCAAAACGTCACCGAAAACAACACTTGTAATGGTTCAAAGCGATACCCATCGCAGGCGCAGCCATCGTGGAATAATAAAAATACCTGGATGAAGCTCAGTTTGAAAACTATCGGTAAGGCCGCCTGTTTGCATGTCATGAATTAGACGATCGTCGAAGTTGGTCACCAAGAGTATGACCAGAAATTCGACAATCGTCACAGTTGGTCAGCAAAATTTTAAAGGAACAGAAAAAAAAAAAAAACTCTTTAATATGAAAAAAAGCCAGAATATTCAATCCAGAAATCAAACTGTTGGAAATGACAAGCATGTATTTCAGTGGGCAGGATTCTTTTTTTTTGGCTTGGTGAAATGTTGATGTACTTCTGTGGTCATCTTTACTTGACAGAAATACCAGGTAATCCACTGTGCTATTTATTGTTTTATGTTGCATTATTTAACAATCTTTTCATCAACTGATTGACTGATTGGCACCTTTCCAGACGATAGTGTTATACTGTGCTATGAGGAGGCATGGACTCACAGCCCATGGCGATGGCGAGTGTGACTAGCAAGACCTGCCCATGTCAAGAAATGTCTTCCACAATGAGAGCATGGGATTTCAGGACCATTGTTGTCACCATCTGGGTTTAGTGTGTTTCTTCTCAGTCGTTCAGCTCTCATCATTTCTGCAACCATTTCTTCCTTCATTCTCACTCCCTTCCTGATGTGTCCCCTCCACGCAACAGTCTATGGAATTTTTTTTTTTTTACAAGTCCACCTCAGTACCTGTATCATTCATGTCTTGCTTGCACACATCTTTATATTGTAAAGGTCAATCTAAACATCTTCTACACATCCTTAGTCCACCATGGAGCATCCTCCTTAGGGACTCTGCTATCCTTCATTCTCCAGGTGTGACCCAGCCACCTGAGCCTTCGTAGACAGCATGGAAATGACTGTTGTAGTACTTGCTCTTTCCAGTACCTCAGTGTTTGTGATCTTGTCCTGCCAGTTAATGCCAAGTATTCTTTTTAGGCACTGAATGTGTGATCTATTTAGCTGTCTCTCCTGGTACGAAGCTGACTGATTTCACTGCAATAAAGCAGAGTGCTGAGAACATAAGCCTGAAAGACAAGAGTTTTTTTTTTAATCATGCTCTCTCTGTTTTCCTAAACTCTTTTTGTTAATCTACTTATTGTTGTTGCCTCTTCACCTAGATCCTGATGCTGGTTTCTTGATTCATTAACACCTTGCACCATAACCTTTGTCTTCTTTTAGCTGACTGTTTCCGATAAGACTTTAGGTAAAACTGGTCTTCTAGGATCTTCAGCCTTCACAGAATTACAAAGTCCATAATCCTAGCCTCTCTGCATGGCTCCCAGAGATAAACAGGAAACAAATTACTGAAACATCCCCAGCTGTTAAAGCATACTAGAAAAAGCCTTCAATGCAAGTGACTGGCATGATCATGAACTCGACCTGGAGAAGACTGTGGCCAGACCAGCAAAGACACTGCCTGTCCTTTGTTATTTCAGTTTGTGTTTCTGGGCAATAGCATGGGCTTGGAAGTTGACTGTGTTAATATCGCCTCCTAATGAGTATTTTGTGGTGAGCCTCAGCAAGGGAAGAGGTCCCAGTGAGGACAGAAAAAGTGCTATAAGAACACTCTCAAGACTGCTCTCAATTCCTCTGGCATCCACACAGCGACGTGGGAGGCTGCTGCACAAGACCGTTCTAGATTGTGTACCTCCGTCAGGCATAATGCAACGACCTGACAGGCAGCGGAGGTTGCACAGGCAGAGAAACGGAGGCAGACTAGAAAGAATTGTACTGCTAATCCCAAACTTACTGTGGCTTGCATCAGTTGTCCGCACTGCTCAAGAACTTTCCAGGCTCACACTGGACTAATCAGCCACTTTCGTACTCATGGTCATTAATCATTATTACTTTGGATAAAAAGTGGTCTTTATAACTCGTGATGGACAAACAAGTGAAGGACCATAGGAAAACGCTCACCGTGGAAGAAATAGAACACCTTCAGAAGTGGCAGAACTTTCCTTATTTTATTAATATTATTTATGATACCCAGATACCAACCTTTTTTTTTCTTTCAGGTAAAACGATGTTTGCTGATAATTTATTATTAATATATATTCACTGCACTTACTCCTGTTTGTAGTATTTAGTATGATTGTATACATTGCTACTGCTTGTTTATGCAATCTTTAGATTAGGTATTGTTATAAAGATTATAAACAGTAATCTTGAGTAAGAAATCAGCATTATTATTTCTTATAAGAAAAGAGGTTTCAGTTTATTTACAAACAACTATTTTTCCAAACAAGTTTTAATGTGAATTAAATTATTCAGAACCAAAGTTCCAGTGTACTTACATTTTTAACATTGCTGTTGATCTTCAGCCAGTCCCTCCCCATGTCCTCCTCCTCACTGTCCATGTCAGCACCAATCAGTGTAGACTGGTCCATTTTTGTGTGCGACATCTACAACTAACTACAACTATTTTAAACACAATTTGCTGCTGAACTGAAACAGATCAAGAGAAACCCCCCAACTCTGGCTGTTGATTCGCTGGAGGAAGTCTGTGGCGCAACGCGAATACAACAGTTTGCGTCTGAAAGGACTGCGTTCCTTGAGTTGTTGGTGTCCTTGCTGAAGAGAACCGTGGTACTGTCTGTACTATGACAGCTACTGCTGTGTCTAGTGTCTTCTTTCTACAACAATATAAGTTCTAGTCAACTTCTAGTCATAGTCTAGTCTAGACTCTAGCTAGACGACCCAAGTCCAGCTCTCCAGACCTGGAGTGCTTGTCAAGTATGAACTATGAGTATTGTAGTTCGCCTCTGTTATTTGTCTAGTTTGCGTATGCAGTTCATTCACTGATGGAATGTATCAGCATTCAACGGACAAGAATAAACACGACCGAGCAAGCGTGAGGGTGTAGGAAACGTGAAAAATTGAGAGGGCAAGACTCGGAGATAGCTTAAACAAACGTTAGTAGTATTCAGTAGACGCCATATTGGCCAGGTTTCTTTGCCGCGGGATGCCATTTTGCCATAATCCTTCCTCCCTGCTGCCCCGCAAAGTTTGGCCTGAGATTACACATCATCCCCGCCTGGTCCAGCTTATGTTACTATTCTTGGTAACCTGGAGGTTGAACGAGGTTTACAAGTCTTTTTACCTATAGGATTCTCAACACAGGTGTTAATTCAGCCGACTGTAATCAGGGAAGAGACATATTGCAATAAAGTGCAAGGTGACTCCAGCTGACCCATCTCATTGTGCAGGTTCTGGACACTTCGGACTGGACACTGTGGTCTTCGAGCACACCTGTACAGGATAGGCATAAAAGAATCTGCTGCCTGTGATTGTGGAGCAGAAAGACAGACCCCTGAGCACATACTGCAGTACTGCCCTCTCCCAGCAAAGACTGTGGATCTGGCCCAGGGGATCCACATTGCGAGAGAAGCTATGGGAGACCGGTGGCGACCTTAAACGCACAATCCTATTTTTGACCCAAACGGGACTCAATGATTAACATGACTGATGTCGAACGAAGAAGAAGAAGAAGAATTGTGCAGGTTGTGATGAGAAAAGATAATCATCACAGCACTTCGGACAGATCCATAGGTGTTTCGATTTAATCCTCAGTAGCTCCATTAGTGTAAAACGACTAAAGACACATGTTCTGTATTGATTGATGACACGTTTAGTTGCGTGTTCATTTCTCTCAGCTCCAGACTGCACCCCCAATGTCAATCAGCCTAGACAGGGATCTGAAGTCTTGTGGTGTGCTCCTCTGTAGGTAAGTGCTGCGCGTGGCATTAATAACATCGCTTCTGTCCAGTACCGGACCAGCCATAGCAACAGCAGTGTCGGCAAGATGTCTGCACGCTAATTTTCTTGAACACCCGCATGACCAGGCACAAAGATAAAGGTTATTGTAGTCACTCGCGAAGTGCTAAGCTTATGACAAAACCAGCCTGACGTTATCTTTCTATTGTTTTCTTGGTCTGCCTCGTATTCTACGAACATTCAGCTTCCTTGTGTACACAGTTTTAACCTCTATGTCATTTAACATTCTCTCAATATGCCCAAGCCAGTTCAGTTAATTAGATCTCATGATGCCAATGATCAGTGGTAATTTAAATAGATTATGAATTTCGTTGTTGCTTCCCACTCTTCATTTCCCCCCTGTTTGCATTTTTAATTTGCCCAAAGATTCGTCGTAAAATATTGTTTTCGAAAATTTGTAATGAGCTTCGTCTCTTTTAGTTGTGCTCCAAGCTTGTTGGTGTCTCTAGTGCTTCTTCTTTTGTCAAAATCTGCTTGTGCCGCTAGGCGTCGCAGTCTATCAGATGATCGGCAACCGAGCCAGGGCGCGCTCAGTCGCTTCATATGCCGTGATGTTATGAAGTCTCAAGTTGTCCGTGACTCCTTCAATCCATCTTCTTCTTGGTCTTCCCCTGCCTCTTGTTGTTTCGATTTTCATGTTGTATGCTCTTGATGCTGGCATCGTTGGTTCCATTCTCATTAGGTGACCAAACCATTTCATTCTTTGCTTCTCAATAAATTTAACAATGGGTATGGTTCCAATAGTTCTTGTAATCACATCGTTTCTCACTCGATCTCTTCTGGTTTTATTCGCAGCCATTCTCAAACATCTCATTTCACAGGTGGTTAGTCTTCTCTCATGTTCTTTTGTTAATGTCCAAGTCTGACATTGATAACCTAATGTCGGTATAAAGATTGTATTTATAATTAGTGCATCCAAGAATAATGTGCATTGCTTCGTTTTTAATTCTTTGGTTTTCCATAGCTGTTCATTTGTTTAGTGCTGAGTGTCATGATGACCAGTGCATATTCAGTGGTGGAGCAGAGATGTCAGTTGAAGTGGCGCTGTTTATTGCTTTGTATCGCTCAAGCTACTGAGCAAGCACTTGTCAGTAAAACTATACCCGACTGCATTTACTGAGTAGTATGGATACGGCTTCTCGCTTCTCTACCTTTTCCGATTAATTAAATCAAATCCTATAAATAGCAAGCGACTAAATTTATTACATTTACCTAAACCTAGAATAGATTTATATAAAACAAGTTTAGCGTACTCCGCTGCTCATTTGTGGAACCAACTCCCACTAGACCTGAAAAATTCTAAAAGTCCCTATTCATTCAACCGTAAACTTTTTCAATTCATACTTACAAGCGATTACATGCCACCTTGAATGTAATGTAACCCATATTGCATATTCAATTTATTATTAAACAAGGTGTGTATGATATGTATGTTTGCGCGCGCGCGTGTGCTTGATATGTATGTATGTGTAGGCGTGTTTGTATATATATGACTCTGAGTATGTTTTTTGTCTGCTTGTGTATCTGCGTGTGTGTCTGCGAATGTATGCGTCTGTGTCCTTGTGTATGTGCGAATGTGTGTGTGTTCGCGCGTATGTCCACGTGTATGTTTCAGTGTGAACTGGTTTCTTTTTCTGCATATTTGATGTGACTGTGTATATCTTCGTTTGTGTCTGTGTGTGTCCCCGTATGTGTTTGTCTGCGGGTGTGTCTATGAGGCTGTATGTATGTATCTCTGTGTGTGGGTGTCTGTATGTCTGTCTGCGTGACTGTATGTGTCAGCATGTGTCTGTCTGTGCATGTCTATGTGTGTTTCTCTGTATGTGTTGTGTGTGCCCCTTTGTTGTCTGTATGTGTCTGCATGTCAGAGTATATGTCTGTGCGTGCTGAATATATGTGTCTGCGTGTGTATTTCTATGTGTTTGTATGTATATGCATTTCTGCGTGTTTGTCTCTGTGGGTGTCAGTATGTGTTTGTCTGCCTGTTTGTCTGTATTTGTGTGTGTGTGTGTTTGACTGCGTGGTTGTCTATGTGGCTGTATGTATGTGTCTGCATGTTTGTCTGCGTATGTGTGGTGTGTGTGTCAGTGTGTGAGCACGAATGTAAATATGTGTGCTGTGTGTTTCCCTGTGTATGTTTATATGTGAGTGTCTGTGTGTGAGTCTGTATTTTTGTCTGAGTGTTTGTGTCTCTGTGGGAGTGTCCGTGTGTGCATGTGTGTGTCTCCATGCATGACTGGATTTATAACTGTATGTGTGTATGCCTGTACTACGTATGTATGTATTAATGTATGTATGTATGTATGCCTGTATGTTTGTATCTATGTATGTTTGTGTGTACGTATGCCTGTGTGTATGTGTGTATGCATGTTTGTTTATATGTATCTGTGTATGTATGTATGGAATGTATGCATGCATGTTTGTGTGTGTAAGTGAGTGGGTGAGCGTGTGTATGCGGGTGTATGTCTGCACGCGCGGGGTTTTGCATGCACTTTACAACTCATGCTTTTGTTTTCTTTTATAATATTCATAATATGCATAACATCATATGATCATAACATGCTTTATTAGTAAAATACAACTGCTGTGCGAAAGATGGTTGACTGGAAGGGCCGAATGTAAGACGGGCCTGCGTGCCCAATTTGTGACCCTTTGAAAATAAAGTTCGTTCGTTCGTTCGTTCGTTCGTTCTCTCAACGCCTTTCCTCCAACTTTCTAAATGGAGTGTTCTCCTATATCGTTTATGGCACCATTGGTCCCTTCAGTATGGATTCCTTGTCCTCTCTTCAATCTTTTACAGCTTTTTTTTTTTTGAGGAGTCATCTCTTAAGACCCATATCTAGAGCACCCTCCACCTCCCCTTCCCCCTTTTACGGTACGTAATGCTATACAGTACCGGCACCTTTTATTAGGCGTATTCAGAGCAGCTGTAACAGAAACCTTGTGGTGGGTACGGACATCATTTTCAATTCAGTCCTCCTGTAGTAGACACCACACAGTGCGCACAGTCCTCCTGTAGTAGACACCACACAGTGCGCACAGTCCTCCTGTAGTAGACACCACACAGTGCGCACAGTCCTCCTGTAGTAGACACCACATAGAGCGTACACTCCTCCTGTAGTAGACACCACATAGAGCGTACACTCCTCCTGTAGTAGACACCACATGGTGCGCACAGTCCTCCTGTAGTAGACACCACACAGTGCGCACAGTCCTCCTGTAGTAGACACCACATAGAGCGTACACTCCTCCTGTAGTAGACACCAAATTATGCGCACAGTCCTCCTGTAGTAGACACCACATTATGCGCACAGTCCTCCTGTAGTAGACACCAAATGGTGCGCACAGTCCTCCTGTAGTAGACACCAAATGGTGCGCACAGTCCTCCTGTAGTAGACACTAAATGGTGTGCACAGTCCTCCTGTAGTAGACACCAAATGGTGTGCACAGTCCTCCTGTAGTAGACACCAAATGGTGCGCACAGTCCTCCTGTAGTAGACACCAAATGGTGTGCACAGTCCTCCTGTAGTAGACACCAAATGGTGCGCACAGTCCTCCTGTAGTACACACCACATGGTGCGCACAGACCTCCTGTAGTAGACACTAAATGGTGTGCACAGTCCTCCTG